TCAATTAAAAAAGCAATTTAAAAAGCGCCTTTTTTTTTTTTTTTCTTTAAATTTTGATTTTTTTTATTTATTGGGTAATAAATTGACGGCGCCGGCTGCAGGCCGGGGAAACGGTTAAGGCGTTCGCCGGGAGATTAAGCTCCGTACAATGATTCTTTATATTTGGGGTTTTTTAACGGAAATGGGGTCTTTGATTTCTTGATAGTGATTTTTCGGTCGGGATTTTTTTTTATATATATTTTTTTTTTTTTTTTTAATTTTTTTTTTTTTTTTTAATTTTTTTTTTTTTTTTTAATTTTTTTTTTTTTTTTTAATTTTTTTTTTTTTTTTTAATTTTTTTTTTTTTTTTTCCTTTTTTTTTTCCTCCAGGAGCTGCCGTATCCGCACGAGCCGCCGGTAATTGGCGTTTAAATCCGCAGAGATAAAGACGGGGCCCTGACGCGCGCTCGGGCCGGCTGGTGATGTAATTTTTAATGGCCTGAATTCATTGATTTCTCCTCTCTCTTCCCCACCAACCGGGGGCCGGATTTGAGAAAAGGGGCTTGATTTTCAAACTAAAAATCCAAAAATCCCCCAAAAGGCGCTGTGCCGCCGAGGGTGCCGGCTCCCGCCGCTCTCCTTGTTCCTTCCCTCTTTGGGGAAGGTTAATAATTAGGGTAACACTTCGTCAGGGTTTTGGTGGCGCTTGGGAAAACAGATTTAAATTCTTTTTTTCCTTTTTTAAAATTTTCTTTTATTTTTAAGATTTCCCCCCAGTTTTCTCCATCCACATACCTGGGTGTTTTGGGGGCAGCATCGCTCACCTCCCAGCTTCGGGGAGGTTCAGTTTTCACTTTGTCACCTTCAAAACAAAACAAAAAATCGAAAAAATTTAAAAAAGGGCTGTTGTGGTTCTGAGCTGTGGTATTAAAACGGCCGATTTTTAGGACTTTTCTTGCTTGGGGGTCTCCTCGTCCCGGGTCCAAGGATGGGATTTGGAGAGCGGTGTCTTTGCTGGAGCAAATAGTGTCTCCCAGAGAATCTTTATTTTAAAAATCGCGTCGCCTGTCTCAAGGCATCAGAAAATGCTGGGTTTTTTGTTTTGTTTTGTTTTTCCAGAGGTTTTGGGCTTTACCCAGCTCTGGGGTGGTTTTGGGGGATATCGGTGTGGAGACTTGTCCTCTCCAGAGTGGTGTCCACCCAACCCTGAGCGTCTCCTAGAGCTCCGTGGTTTTGTGCAGGATTTAACCCGGGTGATTTTCCGCTGAAAGGCTTTTTCTGGGGAAAGCTGCCCCATAAGATAAAAACCTAAATCCATCCCTTTCCGCCTTCAAACTCCAGTGAAAATGGGAGGATCGGAGGGTTGGTGGGTGCCAAGGTTTGTGCCCGTGGCCGCCCGACAGCCGGGGGGGATGACACCCCTTGTTTTGGGGTGAATTGGCTTAATTTGGGTGGGTGAGGGACGGGGCCGGCGAGGTCTGCTCCTTTTCTCTGAAGGAAATGGGATTTATGGTGATTGCAGATGGGAATTGGGAGTGTAAAAGTGATTTTTATGGTGACACAAGGTTGTGGTGGGGCTGTTGCGGGAGGTGCTGTGTGCGTTTGTGCTGGGTTCAAAGCCTAATTAGTCATCTTCGAGCCCCGGATGGCTTAATTGGTGCGTGCCAGCCCTTGACTAGGCCGGCTGGGACTCAACCGTTGGTCTTTGCTCCTTCACTGAGGGATCTTGACAACTTTGACATCCTTTGGCCTTGTCTTTGCTGACTCATTTGGATGTTGCCCCAGTTTATTTCCCCTTGAATGTGAGTTTGGAGTTTGTTGATTGGTGGGGCAGGTTGATTAACGCCCTGGTACCTTCTCGGTGAGGTGGCCGGTGGTGGAGCCATTGACCGCTTGGGTTGGGTGGGATGGTCGGCTGCGTCCCCCCGCTGCGGAGGTGTTTCTGGTTGGGTTTTGCTCTGGTTGGGTTGAGTAATTCTGGGTCTGTTGGTGGCAACACACAGGGGAAAGGCTCCTGTTGGCCCATAAATATAGATATATATAAATGTATGCACTTGTACATTGATGGTAGTCAACAGCTCAATGGCCAAATGGAGATCAGCAACAAGCGGCGTCCCTCAGGGGCCCACACAGGGACCAGTCCTGTTTGATACCTTCGTCAGTGACCTAGATGGTGGGATTGCAGATGATACCAAGCTGAGTGGTGCCCTCGGTACCCTCAAGGGAAGTCTCTGCCATCCAGAATCACCCGGAGACCTTGGCCAACGGGAACCTCATGAGGTTCAACAAGGCCGAGCACAAGGTCCTGCAGCTGGGTGGGGGCAACCCCCATCCTGATACAGGCTGAAGGAGGGGAGGGAGGGAGGGATGGATGGACGGATGGATGGAGAGCAGCCCTGTGGAGAAGGACTTGGGGACACTGGTGGGTGGCACATGGGACTGAGCCGACAACGTGCTCTGGGAGCCCAGGAAGCCGAGCGTCTCCTGGGCTGCAGGTCGAGGGAGGGGATTCTCCCCCTCTGCTGCGCTGAGACCCCCCTGCGTCCAGCTCTGGGGGTCCCTGGCACCAGTCAGGCAGGGACCTGCTCGAGCGGGTCCGGAGGAGGCCCCGGGGATGGTCCGAGGGCTGGGGCTGGTCAGCCTGGAGAGGAGACGGAGACCTCGCTGCGGCCGTTGGGTACCTGAA